AGGACTTTGCTTATATATATATATATATATACATACAAATATTATATGTATGATAAAAATACTACGATTACTCGATCTGTAATATTGAACGGGAAGGATGTAAGATAAGACTCGTGTGACTCATTGTTAGTGCGATTTGTCTCGAATTATTATAAAAAACAAAAATTAAAAATTAACAACTCAATACTTGACGATAACCATTTACAATCTTAGGATTTTTCATTAATTTGAGCTGCAATTAAGAGGGTAATCTGCGTTCGTCTACCCCGCGTGATTTTTAACAAAGCTGATACTGTATAATTAGATACGTGGACGCAAACGTGCTTGGATATCTGCTTAAACTGCGGCAGACTTTTGACGTCTTTAATAAAACGGTGAGAAGTAAGCTCGTATGAAATTTTGTCGGTCGACTTAACAATAAATTATTTTTACGAAGATTTTAGAAATAGGTACACTGAACTCTTATGTAATGTCACGTTGAGTTGAAAAGCAGATAAACTAATATACAAAAAAACAATATGTAGAAAACACACACACACACACGCATACGTACATACTCATTAGTTTAGAGGGTGTTTAAGAATGTGTAATAAAGAAAATGTTTCTCGTTCATTAAATATGTATAGTTAGTATTGGAAAGACCGCACGTTTGAGGTTTTTTTCCGGGGAAAAGAAACGTTATTCGCGCTGGAAACAATATAAAAAAATTGATCGTACGAACAAACCAAAGTCATTTATTATAGTGTAATATAGAAAAGAATAAACAGATTAGTGCTAACAGTATTTGTAAAAAGTTACTGGGGGATGAAGCTTTTTGCGTTAGTTGTAAAAATTATCGATTTTAACGTCGTAACGAAGCTATACGTGTGTGCGCTGAAAAATGTATACCGATCGATGTGCGAAGTGCCGGTGAGAGTGAACAAAAAATAAAACATGCGAAATCTTTGTATACCAAAGTTGATGGGTTAAAAAATTTTATATTTCAAGTTACGATGCAGTCATTTGTAAGAAAATTTTTAGAAATTATAAATATATTGACATATAAAAATGCAAGTGTTTCGCGATGTACAAGATCGTTAAAGACGAATAAAAAAAATGTTTAAACAAAAATCCTTTAATGTATTACGATAAGTACCTTTTTAGGGATAGATGTATATGCAACGGATGGAAATATTTTTTCTCGCACGAGGAAAAATTTATTTCACGTGAACACTTTTTTAGGGAAAACAAAAATCAAGCTCTTTTCAAATCAGCAGTTGTGAGGTATTGAAAAAAATGTGTATAATAAAAATAAACTTTTCGTGCCCTTCGTCGTATAATACTGTACTGCCAAAAAAGTGAAAAAAGCACTTAACGAATGCATGCGTACACGTGAGTCTGAAAATAAAAAAAACAATGTTGTTGTAAAACAATTTACTCTTACGTACGATTCATTTGAACAATACCTACTGATATTTTTTATTTGTGTTCGAGTATAAAATAAATGTTTTCACGAAAAAGTTTTTTACGAATAACAAAATTGAAATTTATTTATGACCTCCAATCATCATTCATCTTTTTCTTTGAACTCATTCCAATCGATAGTTACAAATAAACATTAAATTTTGTTTTATTTTTCTATTTTGTTGGATCGAAAACTCATGAATTCCAAAAACCAAAAAGAAGCTCATGTTTTATTCAACATCGATAAAAGGTATGGACATCGAAAAACATATAAATTGAATTTCTATAATACATTTATAAACGAATAAACAAATTTCGTAACACAATGTCCATTAAAGTACCTTTTCCGTGGGTCATCATGAATCCATTATACATTCAACGCACACAAAACCAATTCTCCTCCCTCTTCCCTCGATAATAAAGGACCGAACGTGGGATTACAAAGCGAATTTACCGACAATGGTGTACATATATATATATATATGAGGTACACCGGGAGGTGGGTGTGGGTGGATATGGCGGTGCGCGTGGCCCGCATTGGCTGCTGAATTATAAATGAAGCGGAGCGTAAGGGCCGTTGCCTGGCAACCGTCAGCCTCGCCGAGCGCGCAGCGTTAAGAAGACACACACGCGCGCGCAAAATGGAGGGTTCCGCACGGCAGGGCTTCCGAGGGAGGCTGGTGCTCTCCCTCTATAGCGCACGTTTCTCTGTGTAACAAAACGAGAGAGAGAGAGAGAGAGAGGGGGGGGGG